GGCACTTTTGGAATGAAAAGGGCACCTAAAAAATTTTTCCCGGAAATGTTGGCGATGGAGGAATGGGGGGGGGGGTAGGGAAGGAAAATAAATGCAATCATGAATCAAAGGCCATTGAGGCTGGCTCACGGGTGTAAGCATATATACAGTTTTGCAGTTGTTTTGCAACATTTTGCCATTTGTCATGCTCCAGCCCGATTTCCGTTTCTGAAAGGCCCGATTTGCAGGCAAAGAGTGCGCGCCAAGCATGCTGGTCATTGTTTCACTGTCCCACACTCAAGTAACCACGAAGACTCACAGATCTTTGCAACATCCGTAAGTCAAAAATGCAATCTGAATAACATTGTTCACGAAGGCAAAGGGCACCTTAAAAAGGGCACCCTTCCCCCCCCCCCCGGTTCCTACGGCCCTGGTTTTGACAATGCCACTGTAAAACTTTTAAAATATGCACTGCTTATTAGACTTACAGGGTGGCAAATAGATGAACCACACCAGGACCTTTCTGTTAATTACGTCATGACTAACACTATTTTCAACTTAGGACCACCTTAAATGGAATGGATTTTAAATTTGTTTTTCACAGACTATAGTCAGAAGAGCAGAACAACCTTCTTCAACACATGTAAAAAAAGAATTTTGGATTTTGACAAATAAATGTGGAAATAAGCTTAAACACGAAAATGAGGCTGAGGGGCCAAGTGGGGGCCGTGGAGCTGTGCAGGCCCCTCAGCCTCTATTTCGTGTTTAAGTTTATTTCTACATTTCCTAGCTAAAATCCAAAATTCTTTTTATGCATGTGTTGACGAAAGTTGTTCTGCTCCATGACCATAGCCCGTGAGAAACAAGTTGTTCTGCTCCATGACCATAGCCCGTGAGATTCCATTTAAGGTGGTCCTATAATTAAGGGACCATTCATTATTTATGACCGGGGGTGGGCTGGCAAAATTCAATTAACAACTAAACAAAGTGTCCTGACCCACCCCCTGAATCCCAAAAAGTTCAATGACCCCCTTCACATGAGTTCTAAAAAATAGTAACCCCCCACCGCTACCGCTACCACCACCACCACCCATGGGCGTACCGGAAGGAAAAAATTAGGGGGGCGGAAACCAATTTGCCCGACTTTTCGGGATTTTGCCCGACTAGTACCCAAAAATTTATTACAAACCAAAATTGCCCGACAGTTGATCGAATATTGCCCGACTGCCCAAAAAACTGGGGGGCTACCGCCCCCCGCCCGGTACGCCTATGCCACCACCACCAACAATATAATAAATGTACAGTACTGTATAGAAATGAGCTGTTTGAACTTGTTGTTAAAGGCATCAGATCTTTCATAAATGAGTTTCATTTACTTGTGCTTTCAACAATTAATATGTATATGCCTATTTAACCCATTAATTAAGCTGCAGAGTTTTCTGTCACAACGAGTAAAATTGCCTGCATGGCCTTAAACGAGTAAAAAAGTGTACTGGGGTGCAATGGGTTAACTAGAGATATTGTCAGATTTTTTGGTTAACCCATTAAGCTACAGAGCGCTGAAGAGGCTAAAGTCATACCATTATTCGCTACAAAGAGTGTAGTAGTAAACTGTAAGAGTAGTAAACTGTAAGTGTAGTAGTTTGCTCCAAACGTAAAAAGTTGCTCAAAAGTTTCCGTGTACAATCGGGACATGCCTAGCGCAGCAGAGCTTCTCCGACAAGTAAAGTCAGGTCACGAGTATAGGGTACTTAGGAGTAGGGGGTAGCTGAAAACGAGGGCCAAAGGCCCGAGAAAATTTTTAAATTTAGAGTCTCTGGAATGCCATTTCCTGGACTTTGGAGAAGATTTGACAGAATTCTGATGGTCAGAAAACAGTATTTTAGTACTGATGTCGAAATTTACAGTTTAGTAGCACTATTGGGACCGGTCATTATTTATGGAAGGGGGGGGGAGGGGAATTTTTTCTTTTCTAAATTTTTAAAATTGAAAGCCCCCCCTAAAAGAGCAGAAATTTAATAATGACCCCCCTGCATATTAGAATATTTTTCATTGACCCCCCCCCCCATTTTCATTTTTACTTGTCAAATGGGGATACTCAGGCGTTATTAGGCGTTATAGTGTTAATTATTAAAATACGAATATGGAACTGGCAAGATATTAACGTCGACCAAAAATATATATTTAGCAGAAAATTATAATGAAAAGAGGAGTATTTTTTATATATAACACTAAAATCAGGTTTCCATATGGTCTGGGCGATTGTAAACATGTTTAAGGCTGCAACTAGACTTGATGGTACGAAGTATTGCCATAGCAGCTGTGCAGCAACAATGAGAGCAACAATCAGTACTATTAGCAGCAAAAGGAGATAACAATGACAAATCTGTCAAGGCATACCACGAAATACAATGTATAGTGGTCTATACATCCTATTTTATGTGAGATTAAAAATTATATAAAATAAAATGACATATACTACCAGATAAAATCTTTTAGAATGAACATAGGTGGGCGGGTGGGGAAAAGGTATCGAAGCGCAAAACTTGCTGCAGCTAGGCAAAGCATACAATGGCAGAATGAATACCCAGACCAAAGCACTGATCACAAGGCATGAAACAACCCCCTTTGATCGACATGACGTCACAGACTCCCCTCAGCGGATGTGGCCTGCATAATACATCCGCCGTTAACCTTGCTTAATTTAAATGTATTTAACCACATCAAGAGCTGATGTAATAATACATTGTCAATTTAACTCTGCAATCCGTAAAGACTGATTTGCATACAGCACACACAAGACAAGATAAATCCAGACTATTTCACATCAGTGACCATGATTTAGTTGCAACATTTACAACCAAATGGATACCAGGTTATTAAGCAAATTCCTTCAAATTTAATTGCAACCCCCCTGTCATTTTCTTGAAAAAAATTAATAGCCCCCCCTTCTAGTCATTATTTATACAT